CTTGAGAACTTGAATCACACAAGCCTCACTTTCTTACAACAACAAGACTTGAGTCACACAAGTCTTAAGAACAACACTCAAATGAGATTGAGTTTACAACACAAGAATGAAAGCTCACACAATTGAGCAAAGTAGTGTTGAAGAATTAAAGCTCTATGGATGACAACTTCTTTAGCACTCAAAGAAAATATTTCTAACTCTCAAAAATAATATTTTGATGAGGAAGATGAAGCAAAGGATGAATATAGCTCAAAGAATATATTGGAGTGCAAGAGATGTGTGTGGAAATGAAAGAGAATGAGGGATTAAATAGGCTGAGGAAAATAAAACCGTTGGAGAACGCTGAGGATATGCACTAGATAAAATTAATCGATTAACGTAGATAAATAAATCGATTACGGTACACAGAGGCGAAAAACCTGAATGGAAGAACATAAATAATCGATTAACAGAAGGCCTAAAAATCGATTAGTCGACTCTGTCCGAACTAATCGATTAATTGAAGACAAAAAATCGATTATTGGTCAGATCAGGTAATCCAACGACAAGCCTATTAATCGATTATTTTAAGGCAGTTAATCGATTATGGAGGAAATAATGCGCAACACAAAAGGGCCCAAGCAAGTTGCGATATGAAGTGAATTGGCGTATACTTGTTTGTTTGAGACAAGAACGCTCCTCAAGTCCCTTATTCAATGAATTTTGAATAGGGGAGAAAAAGTGAGTCCAAAAATTATTTTGTGTGTCAAACGATGTATACGAAAAATATTTAAAGTATATTTTTCTTACCAAAAAAAAATTTTGTAATCTTTAAAAATATTTTTAAGAAATTTTGACACACTTATTTTTGAAACTGACTCAGTAAAATATTTTTAGACAGATAAAATAATTTTTCAACTGACTCAAGAAATAATAATTTTTATCCCTCAGAAATTAATTTGTTTGTGCAGAAGATATTGTCATCCTTACAAAGATTCCTAGACTTAATAAAAAATAAAAAAGTCTTCGGAGTCTTCACTTCACTTCAAAAAAAAAATCTGCGTAGGAGTGATCGTCGATTTTTATCGCCGTAAACTTCTTGATACTCTTCTTTGCTTTTCTCGATACGAAAATAAATTTTCGATCAGCTTGAAATTAATCATCCTGTTTGTCATTCATCAAAACAAAAAAAATATTCTAGAAGAAATAGTAAAGGGGTTTGAACTCATGTCCAACATACCTCACACGATCTGGGCGCACAGGGTGACTTCAAGAAGAGCAACCGGGGAGACTCCTTTCGTGCTCACTTATGGATGTGAAGCCCGGTTGCCAATTAAGGCAGAATTCCCAACGTTTAGAGAGACCGTGTATCAGCCCGATCAGAACGAAGCCGATCACCTAGCTGAGTTAAATCTGGTGGAAGAACGAAGGACCATGGCAGCAGTCAAGATGGCCGGTTACCAGCAGTCAGTAAAGAGATATCATGACAACCGGGTGGGTCCGCGTTACTTCCAAGTGCATGATGAAGTTCTACGCAGAAGAGATGCTAGTAAGCCCAATGAAAGAGGCAAGCTGGTGCGCAATTGGGAAGGACCCTATCGCATAAGGGCGATCATCAGATCGGGCACTTACCAGCTAGAAACCATGGAAGGAGGGCAAGTTGACCGGCATTGGAACTCTCACAACTTGCGTAAATTTTTTAGATAAAGTGTAATGAGTTCCCGGTTATGAATAAGATTGTGTTCTTTCCAGAGAGATTGTTCCTAAGCACCAACCGGTGATTGGTCACACACCAACCTGCCCGGTTTGATGTCCAATCGAATTGGACATCTCAAAAAAAAAGAAAAAAAAAGAGACCGGTCGAACCGATCATACATTTCATCCGTACTAACACGGGGTCAAATGACGTAACTAAAAGGAGAGCATCTCGGCTGGTTATGTTAAATGATTAAAGAAAAATGCAAGGCTTACCTTTCAACAAGGGCAATAAGCCGTTGTGAAAGACAAGTCGGCTTTACGAGCACCCGGGCAAAAGACTATCCTTTCGAAAAGGGACACGTCAAATTGCCATCGTGGGTCTACGAACCGACCGGGAAAAGATTATGTTGGAAAACATTTTCACTTTGACATTTTGCTAATGACAATGTTTGTTGCTGTTTAGGTTTTGACGTAGGGGGAATTACCATTACTCTCTCATTGAAAACCCAACTTGGCCTGCATATCCCCTCCTTGGTTTGTCATTATCAAAAAGGGGGAAATTGTTGGAAAACATTTTCACTTTGACATTTTGCTAATGACAATGTTTGTTTCCGTTTAGGTTTTGATATTGACAAACCGTCGGGAACATGGAACAAAATGAAAAGATTCAAAGAGATACAAAAAGTTCTTTGAAGAAACAAAAAGCACAAGAAAGGCATTGACGTTTCTAAAGATGGCGACATTGGCGCTTTGAAGACGTTTTCTAAAGACTTAGGTTTTTATTGTAACAAGCTCATTTAATTTCTCTACGTCATGGCTCAAAACAAAATACGTTTTTCATGCATCAAATGAGTGTTTTAATAAATAGTTTTTAAGTTTCTAAAACCCATGGTTCTTGCTTAACCAAAACCATAACCATCGATTATCGGCATTCGGCTATGGCGTTCGGTTTTCGGCATTGGTTATTGGCATTGATTTTAACCAAATGGTTTTTGGGTTTTTATCTTTGTTTTATGCTTCTGGACACATTTAAAGGTTTTCCAAACCATTAGTTTTCAAAAACCATAACCTTTGTTTTTTCGGCGTTGGTTATCGGCATTCGGCGCTGGTTATCGGCGTTGGTTTTTGGCGTCCAATCAATCAAGTGGTTTTTAATATTTTATGATTGGTTTTTACTTCTGGACATATCCAAATGGTTATCCAATAAAAACACTTCAAAAACCACCTCTTGTTTTTGGTTGTTTGGCAAAAACCATGCGAAATGGCATAAACTTGGCTAACCGTGGTTTTTACCTTAATGAAGTGGTTTTTAAGTTTTTATACCTGGTTTCTACATAAAATACATTAAATAAGTGTTTTAAACACTTAGTTTTTACTTTGGAGAACTTTGCATTTTTCAGTCGGGTTTCAGCGCCGATCGGCTAGGCCATGGTTTTTTGACTAACCATCTACCCAGCGATGGGAAGAACTACCCATCGATGGGTAAGTTGTCCTTTAGCCCAACCAAGTTCCAGAACCATGCCAAACAGCGATGGGAAGTTCTACCCATAAATAAGTGTTTTAAACACTTAGTTTTTACTTTGGAGAACTTTGCATCTTTCAGTCGGGTTTCAGCGCCGGTCGGCTAGGCCATGATTTTTTGACTAACCACCTACCCATCGACGGGAAGAACTACCCATCAATGGGTAAGCTGTCCTTTAGCCCAACCAAGTTCCAGAACCATGCCAAACAGCGATGGGAAGTTCTACCCATCGCTGTTAAAGCCTTGGTCCAACATTAACACAAGGCAGAACGACCTTACCTAGCGATGGGGACTCTCACCCATCGATGGGAACCCAACGATGGGAAGGCTTAACCATTCGCTGGGAAGGCATGACCGTTGGAAGTCATTTAAGGTTGATTCTTTCCGTGTGTGGAAGTCAACCTCCCACCCAGCGATGGGAAGCATGTACCCATCGATGGGTAGGTGACCGTTGGCTTCAAAACTGAAGGAAAATTGGCCTACCAGCGATGGGTAAAGTCCATACATCGCTGGGAAGCCAATATCCTGCAGATCCACAATTTATTCAATCCCACAAATCAAACCAATCACCCCTTTAATGTATTGGTCCGTTGGAGCCTATTTTGGAACTATAAAAAGGAGTGTTTGGGTCTTCTTTTCTCATCAATTCACTTCACAATTCTCATACTTTCATTGCATTCAAACAACATCTATTTTCATAGCTTTCTAGAGCCAATTCGTGTGAAGTTTGAGTTGTTCTTGAGCGTACTTAGTTTACTCAATATCTACTCTAAAAGAGAGTCTCGTTCTTGAGTGTATTTGTGTTCTAAGACACGTTGAGAGAAAGTATTTCTCTCGTTTGATTCGAAGGAAGGGTTGTTTCCTTCGAAGGACTCGTTGAGGTTCGTGTGACTCGAATTCTCAAGTTGTAAGGGTTTGTTAAGCACCGTTTAGTCACAAGTTGTGGTGAACCAGGGTAAATTCGGCGTGCCTCTTACTTTTCTCTTTACTTCTCTTTTAAAGTTTTTTTTCTGCGATTTCTTGATCAAACGCTATTCACCTTCCCTCTAGCGTTGGTCTATTATTGTAACAGATTAGTTGGATCTATTCTCTCCCCGGCCGCCCAGTCAGTCTTTCGAAAGGACTTGGTTAAAACGGTATAGTAGACTGAGTAATTGCAGCCAGGATGCTACTTGCTAATTTACGCGGTCGAAAATTTTGAGTTGGAAAGAATTTATGTCAAACGTAAAGCAAGAAAGAGATACTCAAGCACTCAGCACACGATATGGAAACAAAAATTTTCATTAACATATTAATGTTTTACAAAAAGTGCCCGGAGGCAGGTCAATACATCTGAAAAATAAAAAAATAGAGAGAAGAAGGCCTTGAAGATCAGATCCCTAGGAAGAGTGGAACCGGCGCCTCGTCATGCAGCTCGGGAAGAGAAAAGGCCTTGGGCTTGAAGCCTTGGATCCGCTGCTCAAGGATGCCATACAACGCCCATCGCTCGTCATACTGGCCACTTTCGAAGCCAAAGGTTGCGATTTCATCAACGACCTTGGCTGATGGCTAGTGCTTATAGAGCCCTTGGATCAGCCGGATGGCAGCATCCCGATCAGCGATGGCCCGGCTAGTAAACTCCTCTGGTTCCAAAATCGCCCAGGCCGCTGCAAGAGAAACCCGTTCAGCCCGCTCTTTCTCCAGTTCATCCCCAAGCCGGGCGATCTCTTCAGCAGACCGGGTGTTCTGGGCTTCAAGCTTTTCGATCTTCTCCTTGGCCTGCGCGTCGGCCTCTTTTGCAGCCTTGAGAAGACCTTCATGCTTGGCGTAGAGCTGGCGGTAGACCGCGCAATGCTCCACGAGCTTTTCCTCAGCCTTCTCCGCCTTGGCATGTGCGGCCTGGGCATCCTTCCGGCAGGTCACCATCATGGCCTCCAGCCGGGCCTTCTCCTCATCCCTGGACTTCACCAGCCGAGTGATGTACTCTAGGCCGATCCGGCCGACCTGCTTTAAAGACGTGGAAAGTTTTTCCAGAAAAATATATTTGAGATACAATAAGAGAACGAGAAAAGGTGGAGGGGTTACCTCTTGTAGATCAGATTGGAAGGCTTGGAAGAGCTCTTCATCTGACCGGACCATCAGGGCGAACGGCCGGGGCTCGCCGCGTGCTTGGCCGGCGTCGTAGGACTGGGCCGCGTGTTAGGCCGGCTGGTCAACAACCTCAGCCCTCCGTCTTTTCCTTTGAAGAGACTCTTCAGCAGCCTCCTCTTCGCGGTGGCCTTCCTCGTTTTGCTGGCCACCCTAACCGGCCTCTGAGGTATGGCCGGTTTCCGCCAGCATGTTATCAAACTCTAGGGTATCTACATTTATGTAGAGTTCCCCGGAATGGATCGGTTGGCTGGTCCTCTTATGGGACTGTGCAGGTTGATTATCCAGCGAGAGCGGCTGACCGGAGGGTTGGCTGAGGGGCTGGGCAGTCGAGGGCTCCTCAATAACAATCTTGGGGGTGGCAAATTTGGATTGGAACTTCACCACTGAAACAAAGAAAGGAAGACCGGTTAGTGAATGGGAGTTGAAAATATAAAAACAAGTATAAATGGAAGGGCAGTGGTTGAACCTTTCTCTTTCTTCTTCTTCCCCGGGTGCGAAGGACCGGTGGTGGTGGAGACCGGGGCCTTAGAACCTTTCACCCGGCGGATGGGGATGGCATGAGAGATCGCCTCGGTTAGAACAATCTCTAGCTCGGGGTCAGTCTCCCGACCGGGGTAGACCCCCCACTTCCCCACGTTGTAAAGACCGCGGGTGGAGGCGTCCCCGGCCCGAAGAGTGGCCTCCCAAGCAACCAGGTCATCGGCCTCTTGGGGTTTGACCTAGCGCTTCATTCTCTTCCCCCAGACATTTTGGACGAAAGGGAAAGCAGCCGGGGGGAATTTAATAGACACGTATTTGTCCTTCCACTTCTTGTTAAAAGGAGGAAGGCCACAGAGAAATGCCCGGCCCTGGTGGGAGGACACAACCACGAATCCACGGGTTTTCTTAGACACGGGCCGGACATCGAACATATGATCGAAAAGACGAAGAGACAAAGGGATACGAAGGAAGCGGCAAACATTAATGAAGCTATTGAGCATACGATGACCATTTGGGGCCATCTGCCCGGGCATGATTCCGTATGTCTCAAGGAAGAGGACTTTGAACGGGTGGACAGAGAATTCACCCAAGTCCTTGATGGAGTGGTAGTGGATACCAATCGTTGTACCGGCATGGAGAGAAATAATATTCTTCCACGACGCCCGGTAGGTCAATTGGTACCGATCCGGCATTAGATTATGCAGCTCGTGGACTTGAGCCTTCTGCATGTGCGACGGTTGCTGTTGGAGCAACCGGTCGTCCAGCACAATGAAGCCCTCATCCCAAGCTGGGCAATCGAGACCACTTGTGCCGCGGAAGAAGAAGGGGCACAAGTGGGGGCATCAACCAGTTGCTTCTGTGGAGGAGCAGCCGGGCGCTCAGAAGATGAAGAGGAAGAAGAAGAAGAACCAGAGGTTTGAGACCGGTCGCCAGAACCGTAAGAATGAACGGAAGGGTTCGGGCTATCTTCGCGGTCAGACATGACTCAGAAAGGGGGAAGGAAAGAGACTTACTTGGAAGCGATTAGAAGATTCGGAGGACTCGGAAATAGTGGAAGAGACTGGGCAGTTTTTTAGTTGGTGATTTGCAAGTGAGGAAATTCAAGGGGAAACCTCGCTTTATATAGGGGAGGTGCCGCCCAGCCGAACTAATGGTGAAGCGACACGTGGCAGCCGAAATGATTCGTCATCATAACCTCTCGGGGAGACGAAACGGCACAACAAATCGGCGGCTCCGTACCGGATCTCAATAAATATTCTCCCGCCTTCGTTACCCGGTTTTCAAAAATTCAAAATTCAAATATTTTTGAGTTGGCGCTGGTTTGCTGGGACCATTTTCCCGCCAAAAATCGACTGGGCAGTTCAAATTTGAAAAGACGTTCGCATGTACTTCCCGCCCCTGATGGTTCCCACAGGACTGACCGGGAATCGGAGGACTCATTGATGGGTAATAACCCATGGGTACCACCCGGTAGGTCTGACCGACTGGGAGGTACCAATTGTAGCGCCGCCTGGTTGTTTGACCCGGGCTGCTCGACCGGTCAGAAGGCGAAGACATAGATTCTACTATTGAAGTCGGCCTAGGGAACCAGTCAGTCTGCTGACCGGCTGGATAATCAGAGACGTGCTTGACGTGCTTAGGATTATTATAAATAGCCTTAAAAGCCTCATTTGTGAGGCATGCTTTAATTAATCTACACGGCTTGTACTTTGTAATAGCTCCTATTATCATCAATAATAAACCGGGTTACAGGTGTTTCCACCTACAACCCTTCCGATTACTTATACTTAGTATTTGCGTGGTAATTTACACCATCATACAAGTGAGATGACACATTACGGTGAGATGACATGCTTCGATCAGATGACACAAAGCTCACCACTCGCCACTGTAAAGCTCATCAAACTGTAAGGCAAAGCTCACCATATTTTTTCAACATTTTGAATTTTTTTTCAAAAAATCAAATCAAACGAAGGGGTGCTGAATGGAATTTGACTCTTGACCGCCAGCATTGACCGCCGCCGCTGCCGGTCTCCATCGCCGGACTCCGGCTGCCACCGCCGGCCGTCGCCGGTCCACACCGCCGGTCGCCGCCGCTTCCGATCGTCCCCGGTCGCCGCCGCCGTTGATCGGTGGTTGACCGATGTTGTAACGCCCCGAAACCCAGCTTAGTATTTTTAATTAATTTATATAATTAATTAATTATTGAATCGGTTAATACGAAGATTATTTTCTAATTTGTGTATTTTAATATGAGAGTTGACCTACGTTGTAGGGCTCGCTGTTCTGAACCCGACCCCGCAAATGGATTGAGAATCGGACTTGATGGGCCCAAGATACGACCGACGAATAAGGTAATTGGGCCTAAATATATCCTAACTGGTTAGAAAGTGTAAATTTGACCCTAACATCTATTAAATTTTGGCCGTGTTTGGAAAACAACATTTGGATAGCTTTTGGCATCTTTGACTGACTTTGGCTTTTTTGACCAAGCGAGCCGCCAAAACCATTGTTTGGCTAATGACTTTTTCACTTGGCATTTTGATCCGAAAAGCCAAAATCTGAAATGTCAAGGTGAGTAACATTTGGACTTGGCGGTTAGGAAAAATATTTTTTTTAAAATGTTTTGTTGAAAGATATTTTATAATATATGTAAAAAATAAAAATAAAAGTTAAAAAAATTAAATACGAAAAAATAAAATGAAATTAAAAAAAAATTGTATTTATAATCCATTAAAAAATTTATATTTATAATTCATTATGAATTAAATGAAATTAAAATTTAATATTCCATATAGTAAAGATTTAATTTTTACATGTAAAAAAATGAAAAATAAATATCATGTCTATACACACACACACACATATATATAAATTTTTATTTAATTTTTTTAATTTTAAAAAAATATATTTATGATATGATATTTAAAAAAATTGTAAAATAAAATATACCATAAATGAAGGGATGTCCTTTTATGTAATTTTATTTACAAACAGCTAACTATATACAGTTAAAGTTGCCAAACACTTAAAATTTAACTGCTAACAGAAATAGTCAGTCAAAACAGCTAACTCAATCAGCCATTCAAATACGCTAACATAAACAGCCAACAACCAACTGCTAATGCTAGTGAAGGCCTTTATATTAAAAGGCTGGGAAGTTAGGGGAAAGTCACGCCTCTCTGTTCTTCGTCCGTTTCATCCCTTCGACCCCTGCAGCGCTGATTCTTCCTCCTCGTCGTTGCGTCAGGCCGGTAACCCGAGCAGCCAACCGGCGAGTCCTGTCGCAGAGGAGCAGCGCCGGGGAGTCTAGCAGCGGCGAGGAGTTCCGACGGGTCCAGCGGCGGCGAAGGGAGTTGCAGCGGCGAGTTTCCCCTTCCTCCGATTCGAGTTTTCTTCGTCGATTTCGTGGTGATTTGTTGCCTAAATATCTATAGTTAGCGTTAACTCGTAGATTAGCATCTTGTTTGTGTTAATCTTTCAATTGATTGTGGAATTTTGGTTGATTTGGTGTTGAATTGCTTGGGGTTACGATTTGGGGCTGTTTTTCCGGCGAATCTCCGGCGGTTGGCCGACGGTGGCTGCGCCCAGTACAGTGGACAGATTTGGCGGGTCAGTTTTGGACCCAATTGGTCCAATTTGGATCTAATTGGTTCAATTGGGTCAATTCGGGTCCAATTGGGTTGCTTCTTGTGCAAACGGGTTGGTCTGGGGTCCAATTGGTTCAATTGGGTAAATTTTGGGTTCCATTTGGGGTGCTTGGGTTGATTGGGCTATTCGGGTCGGTCATTGGGCTGCCCGGACTTACCGTTTGGGCCGATTGGGCGGTTTGGGCCGGTTGTCCGAAGGGGCAGTGGGGCTGCCGGGCAGTGGGCAGCCGCTTGGAAGGTGTGGGTTGTTGATTTTTGGGCCATCGGGTCGGTTTGGCGGGTTGTCGGGCTGATCCGTTGGTAATTGATACTGTTCTGGCAGGTGCAGCGGGCCTGAGGATAAGTCCTTAGTCCCGAGTTCGCGACACAGGTAAGTTATTTTAATATTGTTGGGTTTAATCTTGTTGTTTGAGCATGACGGTAATCGGTGAGAAGTGATTCTTCCGATAGGCCACTGAGTATGTTGTTCTGTTTATGGAAATGTTCAAGTGATTGTTATCACTTGAGAACTCTATTGAAAATTGGCCACCTAGTATACCTAGGCGGATCTGAACTGAATTGGATAGTTTAATCACCAATAGGACTGTTGTTAGGTTCGGGCCTTGTGGAGCATGTTTGCATATCCAGTGGTCCAGGGTTCAAAACGTACGTACGGGAGTCATTGTTCTACCTAAGGGATTTCTTGGTAGAGACTCCAACCCGCCCATTGAGGATTCTCTTTGGGTTTGTCCGAGCATCGGCCTCGAGGGATCCGCTCGAGTGTCCGTAACTCTAGTCTGTTGAATCTAGCCGTATGGTTGTAGGGACAGAAATAGTCCTTTGGGAATAAAAGAATTGGAACTGTTGGATCCTTGTATCTGAAAATAAATGTTGGTTGTTCACTGATATTGCTGATTATATAAATGTAATACTATCTGTGAAATTAATTCTAGCGTTAGATATTTCTCTCACTCAGCTTATCGATGAGCGTGTAGTTTGTTCCGTCTTTCTACACGTAGGTAGTAACAAGTTATCCTGGAGAGCACATAGATGGAGGAGATGTACGGGTGCAGGACTCAAACCGTTAACAGATATGGTGGTTGTAATGTAACTCATTTTCTGATAATGATCTATTAAAGATGTTTATTTAAAATAACAGTTTTGCTTCCGCGCTATTTTGAATTAACTCCGATAAACGTTTAAGTTTTAATTGAAATGTTGGATGATTAATTAAATGTTTTAAATTTATTGGAAAATATTGTGTGAGGATACCAATTTAGTAGCAACCCGGGTTGCTAACCTATTTATTCGGGTCATGCGGGTTGGGGTGTTACGGGTGTTGCTATTTTATTTTTACTTAATTTTTTAATTTCAAAATTTAAAAAAAGGTGAGTTTTGGTGTTCAAAGTGGTGAACTTTATTTCATTTCCAGGTGAGCTTTGCATTGTCCATTGGTGAGCTTTCTAGTGTAGTGTGGTGAGCTTTGTATCATCTGATCGAATCATGTCATCTCACCGTAAGGTGTCATCTCACTAGAGTATATATATATATATATATATATATACACACACACACACACACACATATATATATACATATATATATATATGTATATATATGTATATATATATATATGTATATATATATGTATATATATATGTATATATATATATATGTATATATATATATGTATATCTATATATATATGTATATATATATATATGTATATATATATATATGTGTGTGTGTATATATATATATATATATATATATATATATATATATATATGAAAAAACATACCTAGAGAGAGAATCACACCGGAATCCTTTGGTTTTCTGGGCAGTTATTCGGCAACTCACCATGAGAGATCATTCAAAACATTTCCCAAAATCTTCTACAACCACCATTCTAAACCTCAAGCTAAGAAATTTTTCAGTTAGATTTTACAAGAAGAAGGGAATAAAGTCTTGGGGAAGATTGAGGGTACATTCAATTATATGCCTTCAGCCACCTTTACCCTTGATGACGAAAGATTGCTTGGGAGTAAGCTGCAGTTTGCCCTGATTGGAAGAGGAGACAAATTCATCAACCTCAACATTCTCAAGAGCTTTCTAGAAGGGATTGGGTTCTAGGAAGGATTCAAGTTACGTAGACTGCTCAACAATGATGTGCTTATTCTTTTTCACAAAGAGGAAGAATACCTGAGATATTTCATTAGAGGTACATGGATTATCAATAATATGAAGTTTTATGTTTCCAAATGGTCCCCGGAGTATACTCCCCACCAAGACAGCTCTGTAGTTCCTTTATGGGTTACCATCAGCAAACTCCCCACCCATTTTATTAACCCGGAGGCATTATTCACCATAGCTAGCACAATTGGCCAGTCTATTCTCATGGACTCTCAAACTGCCAATCTTATTAGGACCAATGAGGCAAGGTGTTGAAACAGACCTAGCAAAACCTCTCCCCTCTCAAATTCATATTAGAATTGGTCCTAAAGATTTAGTCCTACCTTGCAAGTTTGAAAATGTCCCATGTTTCTGTAATCAGTGTCACAAGCTTGGTCCTGGCAATTTTATCTGCAAGATTCATGGACCTTTTCAAAAATCAGTCCCTAATTCAGTCAATTCTGATCATGATCAAGCTAAAAATACAGGAGGATGGACTTTGGTGAAAAGTAAAAAATTATTTCAGAAGGATGCCTCAGTAAAAAGGGGGAGAGATTCCACTTGCGATAGAACTAAGAGGAGTGATGGCTTGATATTAGATATTCAATTTAAGAAGGACCAGGCAACACACTCACTCAAAAATCACAAGGTAACTCTGGAGAAAGGCTGGACATTGGGTAAAACCAAGAGGGGCCAGGCTACTTCCTTTAAAGTTACTATGAGGAATGGCTGGACATTGGGAAAAGACAATCCCAAGAGGGGCCAGGCTACATCCTCAGTGGGCAAATTTGGGGATGGCTAAACATTGAAAAAAGGTTTATCCAAGAGGAGCCAGGATACATCCACCAAATCTAAACAAATATGGGTTCCTTTAAACAATTCAATAACCAAGGGGCAGCAGGATATAGTGGAATCTGGGACCCATAATCCAGTACAACAACTTCAAGACAAATGAGTAAGGGTTCAGAGGCAGTTCCTGGCAGTCCAGACCCTATTGGTGTGCAGAAAATTAATTTAACTTTTACCAACTCACCAACACAGAAGGACATCTCTCTCTCTCCCTCTTGGGGTCTTCACTCCATCTTCATGGTTCAGGATCACTTCCCATCCTTCTCAGCAGCCAGAAATTTTGCTTCAAACTTATTTCTACAGAATAATGAAAAAGGAAATTCCAATCAACTCAACACATCATCAAGTGAAAGGGAACCTAATTCTTTTACAAAGGCAACAACACCCAGTTTTAAACCTCCTCTCATATCCTAATTAGATGACAGTTTCTTGAATCAGTCTCAAGCAATTGGACTTGAGGGTATTGAATCAATTAGAGACAGTGAAGATAACTACATTGAGGATGCATGTTATCACACAGAAGGAGAGAAGAAACCAGTTATATGGATTAATTCAGAGCTTCAACTTTTTGATATTTCAATGCCTAGACATAATTCACCAAAGCTAGCAATCCCTAAAGCAGTTAATCAAGAGACTTCCTCTGTTGCTAGAACAATAATGACAAGGAGTAAAGCTAGGACTATTGAAGGACTCCAAAAAAAGCACTTATGAATTGTCTTTTCTGGAATGTTTGTGGAGCTGCCTCCTCCCTAAACAGGCTCAAAGCTCTAATTTCAACTAACCATATTGACTTCATTTGTCTCATTGAACCCATTGTTGCTGGAAAAAAAGGGAGTGGTATAAAATCTCATTGGGGTTCTCAAACTCAACTGGAGGCCTTAACAATAAAATGTGGTTCTTTTGGAAAGATAGCACTCTTCAGTTTCTTGATTCTAGAGAGGAAACACAATGTATTCATACAGATTTCTGGTGTCCTACCATCAACAACAAAATCAATTTTTCAGCTGTCTATGGGGGTCATTGCTCTACTGTCAGAAAAATACTATGGGAAGATCTCATCAAAGCTAGTACTAATTCCCATCCTTGGTTTGTGGGTGGTGACTTCAACACCATTCTTAGCTTGAATGAACATAAAGGTTCCTCTTCTCTTTATTTTAAAGACTTGGAAGATTTTAGTGATTGCATTGATGTTTGTGGTCTTACAGCACCACCCTTCACTGGGGGTATCTTTACTTGGATTGGCACAAGAAATAAAGGAAAGCTTTGGAGAAGGTTGGACAAGGTGCTTCATAATCAATCTGCAATTGAGGTTTTCAATGAAATCAATCTCACCCATCTTAGCAAGACAACCTCAGATCATAAGCCTTTGCTAATTCTATACAAAGAAAAAGGGTTTAAGGGCCCCAAACCTTTCAGGTTTCTTAATGTTTGGACTACACACCATAGCTTCTTGGAAGTGGTTAGTGATTATTGGGAGCATAGCCTTAGAACATGTGGGATGACTAGTTTTGCTAGTAAACTTAAGGGTTTGAAACCTATTCTGGCCCATTAGAGCAAGAATCATTTTGGTAACATTTTTAAGGAGGTCAAGGATAATGAAATAAAAGCAGCCAGAGCCCAAGAGGATTTTGAAATTGATCCTACAGAGGAAAAGAGAGCTCAGGCAAATCTAGCCTCAGCTAATCTGATCCTAAGCCTTAACAAAGAAGTGAACTTCTTGAAACAAAAGGCTAACATCAAATGGATGACAGAAGGAGATTGCAATTCCAAATTTTTTCACTCATTTGTTAAAAGTAAAAGAAGAAAACTCTCAATCAAATGAATCCATGATGACCAAGGCAACATTTTGTCAACCCAAAAGGATATTTGCAGAGAGGCTATTCACTATTTTTCTAATTGCTACACCACAGTCACTCAGTCAAATGAGACCATTATTCCACAATTCTTTGATCAAGTCATTGATGACAGAGAAAATCAACTGATCTGCTCACTTCCTTCTAAAGCTAAAGTTTACAAAGCAATTATGAATCTTAATCCTGATAGTGCAGCTGGCCCGGATGGCTTCAATGGATACTTCTTTAGAATTTGCTGGAAAATTATCAAGGTGGATGTCATTCTTGCCTGTCAGGAGTTCTTCTTGGGATTTCCAGTCCCTAGTTCATTTGGAAGCACATTTATTACCCTCATTCCCAAGATTGAAGATCCTAAAGGGTTTGGAGATTACAGGCCCATTTCCCTCTCCTCCTTCATGAGCAAAATTAATACAAAGATACTAGCTACCAAATTGGCCACACTGCTGCCCAAATTTATCTCAGAAGAGCAGACAAGATTTCAAAAAAACAAGGGTATAGAGGAACAGATTCTATTAGCTGAAGAAATGGTGCACATGATAGGTAAAGAGGAGCTATCTCATTAAAATTCTGGATAAACTAGGGTTCAACTTACACTCCCAAAAACTGCTAATGGCCAACCTAGTTGGTTCTCATCTTTCTATTCGTATTAATGGTCACCTGCTGGTTTCTTCCAAATGAAGAGAGGGGTGAATTAAGGTGATCCTCTCTCACCTCTTCTGTTTTTGATTAACAGTGAGGGTTTCACAAGAATGATCAACTCACATATGCACTGCACCTATCTGGGTAGCTACAGCACAGGAAATCACCCATTGATTAGCCACTTGGCTTTTGTAGATGACTTAGTGGTTTTCCTCAATGGGGACACTAGGAATTTGAAAAAGTTTAGAAGGATTTTAGAGGACTATCAGAAAGGATCTGGACAGCAAGTGAACCTTAACAAGAGAAGCTTTTACACTGGGAATAAGGTCAACCAAGCTAAAATTGCTTTAATGTCCAGAAGTCTAGGTATGGATCATGGGGCACTACCTTTCACTTATTTAGGAGCTAGTATGGTCAAAGGCAAGGTAAGAAAACAACACTGTTCCAAGCTCCTGAATCACTTTGATAGATATCTAAACACTTGGTTTAGCACCACTCTTAACTCTATGGGAAGACTTGTGTTGATCAAACATGTACTCTCTTCCATACCTTTACATATCACACCTGTCCACACCATCCTCCAATCAATTATACAGATTCTCCACAGAAAGATGGCAACTTTCCTATGGGGATTCCAGAATGGTAAACCTAAATACCATTGGAGCAAGTGGAGCAACATGTGTGGCCCTACTAATGAAGGAGGACTTAACTTGAGAAGCTTAGAAGATTTACAGGAAGCCTACTCCATCAAACTATGGTGGAAAGTACAAACAGACAACACTAAGTGGGCTAAATTCATGAGAATCAAATACCTTAGACAATCTGATTTTAAGGAAAGGATTTATAACTCTCCAACTTGGAAGAGAATCCGCAGAATCAATACCACTGCCAGGGAACATACTACAGGGGAAGGAGATCACATCAGTTGGGGAGAGGGGGATTTCTCCCTTAAAAAAGCCTATAACATTTGCAGAATGTCTAAGCCTACTCAACTAAATTTTTCATATTGTTGGAATAATGCTCAAATCCCTAAGGTAAAATTCTTCCTTTGGAAAGCCTTGAACTCTTACCTACCTTTCTCAGATAACCTTAAACACATGGGGTTTCATATAGCTCCTGTCTGCCACCTCTGCAAGAACAATGAGGAAACCATTGACCATGTTTTCCTACAGTGTATTTGGAGCCAAAAACTATGGCATTTCTTTGCAGAGGCAGTAGATGGACCAAGCTCAAGACATTCTCTAACCCTAAACCAACATATCATGGAATGGAACTTATCCCATAGAAGGACACTCAAAGGTCAACTTCGCATCATTCTACCAGAGATCATTGTATGGCACATGTGGAAGGAATACAATAGAATAATCCACGAGAATGGTTTAGTTAACATCAACAAGGTCCAATCTAACATTCTACATACACTCCAGGGCTTGAAGCTGGAAAAACAGAAGGAAAAAATGGATGCTAAGAGAGATAATAATCTTGCAGACTTGGGATTCAATTTCTGCTTCTTGTCTAGGAAAGAATTGAAAGGAAGAATTTCAGCGCTCCAGATCGAGCTAGAGAGGAACGGCGAATGCTCGTATCGTAGAGGGGAGGTTAATTTCAAAAATTCTAGGAGTAAGTACGAGGATAGTTGGACATCCAGAATTGGTGCAATGCAGAAGGTTTAAGATTTTGGCATTTTTGGTGCTACCTTTCCTTTTCATCGGATTTTGTCATTCTTGTTTGTATTATTCTCTACTTTCGGGGTTCGGCCTAGTCCCCCCGAACGTGTTTTCCACGTTTACCTTCGGAGGTTTGGTATAGTCCTCTCCGAGCGTGTACTAAAATGGTTATTTAATAATACTTGGAAAGGGCTGCCTGGACCTTACCCCACCGCAATTGGTGGATTTTTCGGGTTTAAAAAATAAATATACACACACACACACACACACACACACAGATATATATATATATATATATATATATATATATATATATATATATATATATATATAATTACGTCTAAATATTCCAAATATTCCAAAAATCCATATTTATCTAAAATATAGACTTTGTGTCCCACTAAAATATGGAAACCAAATTTTCATCTTGGTATATTTTATTTTCTTGAATATATCAATTATTAAATAAGGAAAGTAAAAATAATTTCTATAAATTATTTTGTAAATCCAAAATTTCCAAAAAAATATAATTCCAAAAAATTTTGATTTACTTTCCAATATAATAATTTTCCAGAAAATAAAATATTATATTTCTATTTAATGAATAATTAACATGGTGATTCGGAGATTACCGAAATGAAATTATTAATAAATACAAAATAATTATTTTAATTTCAGTAAATGTTTCCAAATAATTTTATACAATCTGAAAATAATATTTCCAAATTTAAAAAATTATATATTTGGACTTTAAATTTTAATTCTAATTAATCACTATTAATTAAGAATTAGATCTAATTAAATTTGAAAAATATAAAATAAACTCCAAAAATTTATTTTATTTTTTCATAATTCTTAAAGTCTTATTTTAACATTCCAGAATAATTAAAAGCATTTTTCCATAGTTATCTTGTATTTATTTTGTGATTAATCAAATTAACTACAAAATCCAATCAATACTCAAAATAAGGAATTTAATTTCGAAAATTTAATTTTATGTTTCCAGAATGATTAAAATAATATATTAACATTCCCGAACCATTAAAAAAATTCTAATTTATTAATTATTTATTTTGTATTTAAACCAATTAAACTACAAAACTACACCTAATAGATTAAATTGAAAGATAATCAAAAATTAATTCCAAAAATCATATTTTCGAATTATATAAAGTCCAGAATCATATTTTGACACTTTGTTTTTGGATGTTTTTTTTAAAATTCATTCATATCTGAATTAAATTTATCAGATCAATTATTGAAAAACCCTAACGATAACAAATCTACAAAATTTATACTCTCTCCGTCCCACTTTAGATTACAATATTCTCTTTTAGTTGAAATTAAGGAAGAGTCAAATCAAATTTTTTTCCCCGAAATTACCCCCCAAATCCCCCCAAATAGTGTGAATAGTGCTGGCAGAAAAGAAAAGGGGAGGGTAAAAGAGTCAAATCACTATAAAGTTATTGACTTTGTAATCCTTTTTGGGACAAAAATGTGAGGGAATATTGTAATCTATTTCGGGACGGAGGGAGTAATTTCGTAAGCCGGCTCCGATACCACTGTTGGGTAACCACGCATGGATAGCACAATGGAAAACAAAATTTTTATATCCAGTCGTCGTTACCACCCAAGATCGTCCTACGAAAACTATTAATTATTGTTCAGAAAAATACCTCTTTCTCGTAGAAAATAAATCTGTGCTGGTGGAGGGATTGGTGCAACGAACCAGTCACAAAAGAATCCGACCTCTAGCGCGTCCACACGAACAACGAACGATATTTTATGAAGAATTTATGCTAGTAAATTTTTCCTAGAATATTACTATAATAAAGAATATTATTGAGAATGATAAAGAAAATATCAAATATATTTTCCCTTCATTTTTTCAGCCAAAGAGAGAGAGGTGGCGTATGAGATATGTGAGTATTTTATATGGAGGCAATCTCTTATTTTATCAAGATTATTTAATTATCTAATCATATTAGATAACTCTTTTAGGAATTAAAGATAGAGTCAAACTCTTCTTCTCCTTTTTCCTTTTAATTTTTGGCCCCCACACACATAAAATATAATAATTTATTTTGTCAACTTTAATTATCATATAATTAAGACAAAATAAATATTAAATACATATTTAATAATCAGTATTCATATTAGCGTATATATATATATATATATATATATATATATATATATATATATATATATATTATTTCACACATAATATTTGACAAACTTAATTATCACATAATTAAAATGTCAATATATTTAATATGTACGTCACACGTCCCATATTATTTTATATCATTCCCATTTAATTATCTACTTCGTTCAATTGTTCTATGGGTGTGACCCTTCCAGGTATTCATAATGATGGCAATAATATTAATCACAATTAATACTATAAATGATAAGCAGTATCTAGCAACACATTATCGCTACCCTTGTTATAATTCTAAAGTTCATTGAAACAATACCTCGAACGACACATTACATTTGTATAACCCTTATCCCTTTATCACTAACATCTTGATTTAACACAAGGTATGGGAAGTGTCACCTTGTCAAAGTTAAGTCATTGGTTTACTGATTTTTAGACGGACTTGTGAGATTCAAATAACATTAATATTGCATATATTAATTTATCTAGGTATGACCATACACTTCCCAAGTCATATCAATCACTAGGCCCAAAGACATTACACTTCATCACAATGGAAGGGATAAATTCTTTCTACGTCATTCACGCTTATACACATGTTTAGCTATATACCCAAAACATAACTGCAAGTCCACCAGTGTTTCAGATGGTATTAGATATGAGTCAAAGCATATAGGTCAACATATTAAAGATCATAATGACCTCATGTTTAAGGATAGTTATACCAATGATCGAATTAGAATACTACTAATACATTTAAAATAATACCCATGTAGTATTCTCATGGTGGGTCGGTCGAGAACCATATCCCAAATATGTACCTACGTATAGATTGAGATATCACAATATCGCAAGCCAATGAGACGCAGATATCTTGTCCCATACGTATTAATCTTAATATATTATGACGTCTGTATTATCATAATATTTGACTAAGGACAATTTAGACATAGCCTCTATTAATGTAACAGCCTCATAATCAGAACATTGTAGTTCTAATATATGCTACAGAGCACTATGTCTATGGACTAAAGACATGTTTAGATACACGAGATGTCTAAACAATCTTTAGGACCTTTTATTCTTGATAAATATTCAAATACTAATTCATACATTGTCCTCTAGGGCTCATATATCCAACACAAAGAACACACAGGAAGAAGAATGGGAAGAAATGGTGAAGAAATGAAGGAGTTAGGTTGTGCTTATATAGTGGAGAGGATGAGGGAGATGACAAGGTTGCTGCGTCATTTTTGGCGACCAGAAATCTTGGCAGGCTCAGTGCAATTCTCAGGGATTTATACGAATCTTCCCTAATTGGGACTTAATGATCCTAATCGGGTTACACTTTTTGGTCCAACTTTCTCCCAATAAAAATCTAATTGCACTGTTGCGTTCAGACAATCAAACTCTACGTATATATTTTTTTTAAATAAAGGAAAATTTTATTAAAGGAAAAGAAAGGTACAGGGGGGTGGCCAACCCGACAACAGGCCAAAAGGGGAACCAAAACCAACAAAAAGAGTACATGAAGGACTGCCATACAATTGGATCTTCTTTTCTTCATCTTCAGCTTCCTTAGTCTCTGCTGACCCATATTTAATCCATATTCTGTGACCCTAGGCATCCTTGCACCCTGCATAACATCTTGTTGCAGAAGATTTGAGGAGATGGACAGACAGCTCAAATGTCCGTTAGCAGACGCGTCTAGTACATTTGAACTGCTCTCAAAAGCCTTAATTAATGGGTCTTGCCATTCTAGTCTAGGGCAAACTGGGATTGGGAGAGGAACCACTCCACTGCTTGAGGTGGATTCAAGGTTTTTAGGGACCTTAGTTTCATCAGTTTCAATATTCAGTGCTTTCCTTTTAGAAAGAGACCTAGAAACTGCCTTAATAAAGAACTTCAATCCAAGTTTACCCTCACCTAATGGAACACAAATAGTGGATCGATTTCCATCAAGAATAGTAGTAATCGTCACAAAATTCCCAAAAAAATTTGAGTCCCAAGTGATATTAACTGAGTTTTTCCCCTCAAATCGAGTTAATGCCCAATCAGTTTGTTCCATAAGATGATGCTCCAGCGATTCAAGCATCCAAAAAGCCAATGGAGTAGAAACAGAAATAGTACGAAAATATCCTTTCCTGAGCTCTGAAATATGAAGGGAACCTGAGTGATGAAAGTCATACCTTTTGCTTTCAAGATATATGGATAGTAATCCATGGGATTTGGAGAATGGACCAGCATAGGGATGAAATTTCCCAGCAGGTTCGTACCTCGTTCTGTATTTGGAATCCTAATGCTGCCTGAATTTCCTATTGTCCCTTCGGTGTCGCAGACCCTGTTTATTGTCGAAGAAGTGCGATCCAATTGGGTTATTCTGGTCTCTGAGGGAGCGATGAAGGGTGAGAGCCCATCCCTTACCGTCATGTAATACACAAAACATCGAGAATAATCCGGAAGTTGAATCAAAACAAACAAACGAAGAATCGATCGAACGGTCTACCGGTCCGGTACCCCTTACGGTACCTTGGTACTGCCAGGCGGTACCTTGGTACCGTCGGTCCGGTACCCCCGTACCGTGTGGGCACAGGTACCGGCAGTGGCAACCTTCAGTGGCGGAACGAGGCGGTACCTAGCTACCGTCTGACGTCGGGAAGTCACTGGAACGACAGATTTCGATCCAATTCCAAACCATACAATATGTACAATGTTTTTAAAGATTATTATCATGCAAACCTACACAATTTAGAGTAAGAATACATACCTGGTCGTCCTCGTTCAATCTGTTTCAATATTATCATAAAATATAAATAAATCATAATTCAATTATAAACAAATAAACCACGTAATCAATCATACGAAACTACGAACGTGAATTTCAAATCTATATACATAATCTAGCGTTAGATGTGCAAGTTCTGACCTCGGTTATTTGACGACTTAAAATAAAACAAATAGTCGAAGATTTTCCGGCAAGCAGACGGCGGAGGCACTAGGGTCAGCGGCGGTTGAGGGAGCAGCAGTGACGGCAGATCGATTTCCTGGCTGCTCTGTTCTTGTCGCACGTCCTGGCTTCGTCTCTCTCGCGACAGCAAACAATAACTCCGTATAGATGTAATTTGCCGCAGAACCAATGACTCCGTATATGAATCCTTTATTATAATAAAGGAGACTCGGATGCATGAGAATGCGACATTTGGCATGCCTATTTCGCAAAAATTTGTACACGTCACCAAGCCACGTAAAAGCCACGTAATAATAAAGCCACGTAATAATAGTAAGAATAAAAGAAAACAGTGGATCTGAGGAGTTTTATTTTCGCGACAGTCGCGATGGAGATCTGCCGCTGGATTATTTTTCGCAATCAACTCTCCTTTCAATCTATGGTCGCTGGAGAAACGGAAGAAATTGGATGAAGATCTTCCGAGATAATCCCTATAGATTTTCGAATTCAAGGCTCCTTTCCTTCTATGGTTGCTGGAGAAACGCTGGGATTCGCTGGGATTCAAAATTCTTTGCCAGAAAAAAAATAATGAAATTGGAGAAATTGCCCCAACATCCCACTATCTCACACACCAATTTCAGTCACATCTTACAACTCAAGCAGATTTTGAAAGACACACAGACAGCATGACCCTGAATTTTTAATCCGATGTTGTGAGTGGCGACACATCACGAGCAGAGGTGATGATGGAGGAACATCTATGGCCATCCTCATGCGACACACATATTCTGGAGCAAGAATTAAACTGAAGAAAGGGCAGATCGAGAAACATCCCATATTCTTCTCAAAAACAGGTATTTTCTTCAGTTTTTCATATTGTTGAAGAAATGAAAGCAGACTTCTAATTGGTACTATTTAAAGATGCACTATGATTGTATTTTTTTTTAATTTAGATGGAAGGGAGATAGTTTTACCTTTTTAATTTAGTATGCATTTTCAAGTACGAGCATACTGATTGTTTGGGTTTAAATAATGCTAACTTTCTTGAAGTCATTAGGTCCTTTAATTTATATTGTGTTCTTTACTTTTAGTTTCATTTTCACAACTTGTGAAAACTATCAAATAAAGATGGGAGAAAGGGTTCCCATGTTGATATATTCTGTTAGCATATGCATTCTAGTTGTTTGTTTAAAGATGTGATTTTTTCAGTTTGTTTGCTCAAAGATGTGTTTTTTAAATTTATTACAATTTGATGTTATAAACTTTTTATTGTACATACAATTATTTCATTGATTTTTATTTTCTTATTACATGTTCAGGGTATTGAAACTTGAAAGATTTGACAAAGATATAAATGGTTTTGTATTCTATTTTAAATGAATCGAAGGACGTGTTATAAGTTCAATTTTGGAGTTTGATGTCATCCAATCTACCGATAATATAAGCTCCATAGCTCATTTTAGGTCAAGCTTTGCTTCTATAAGACTATGCAAACTCATTACCCTCATTTAAGCTATGGTGATTTTTAGCTATTGTGTTTTTTTGGAAATTTCTAATATTACATAGTAGCTTGCACGTACTAAGAAAATTTAAATTAGGTAAGCAATAATATCAATTAAGAACATGTCTCTCCAAGGGTTAAACGTGAGAATATAAGAGTTTGGTTGTCAAAATATTATTGTAATTTTGTTGTGGTATCATGGAATGTTCACTCTTCACATCTCTTTGATCTTTTTATTTGTAATGTAAATCAATATGCTTTCAATGATCATTTTCTTACATTTTTATATGCATTAAAATTTTATTATTCTAAACTGTTGTTTAAAATTAATTTTTCATATAAAAACAAAAGGCACTGAATAACTTTGTATCAAGCTGAATTAGAAAAAATTGGTATTTGTACACCATGTTTATCTCATTATTTGACTTTGCACCTTATTCCTTTTTTTCTTACTTTCACGAGTGAGCACCCAAGAGAGGTGCAAAGCCTAACAAATGGGATGCTAAGTGGAATAGAAACTAACAGTTTCCATGACAAAATCTCTTATTTCAGTGTCTGAAACAAATTAACAAAAAGATAAAGAAAGGATGCAAAAACTTTTGATGCCATTTATAAAATGCTATTTGAAGCTAAAATGGGGTCTTAACTTTCTCTATTTTATGTCCTATTAGTAGTTGTATCGCACTATTGCCTCATAAATAGTAGCCATTTCATTTAGTCTGCTGAGCTTCTGGAGTGTGCCTAAACATTTGTTTTTTTTAAATCATAAGGCTGCTGTCATTTGCATTCTTTAGCTTGATTAAGTTTGTCCCTAAGGGAGATCTATTAGGATGTTTTGTTTGGAAGATGGAGCATGGACCAACATGTGTGCCCGATATTTTACTTTTTACGGTGAGAATGAGCATATGTGAAAAGAACTTTTCTCTAACTCAAACTATTTTTGCAGCAAAGGTGCAGCAGCGAGCAGAGGTCGCAGAGAATAGAGGGAGTGACTACCGTGACCACCTAGAGCTGAACCAGTGCGGATCTAACTCCAAAATCCAGTAACTTTAGTGTCAACTAAAGTCAACCTAGCTGTGAATCTAATGTCAAAAGAGGTTTGTTATGTCAAATTTCATGCAAATTTTTGTTTCCCATTATTTATGGTTTAGCATATAAAGTGTTTTTTTCCAGCAACTCATGTTGATTGATGAAGTAAGATCCTTGACTTTACAGAGAAACCAAAACAAGAACAACTAAAATCTATGAAGGTAAAAAGGAAAACATAAAATAAGTTGTCCATATATTCAAGTAACTAATGGGGTTTGAGATCTAAATTGTTTAACATTAATCAATATAGATAAAGAAAAGTGTGATACATTTGTTGGCTTTATCAATTATTGATTCACTTATCCCCTATATTTGGACATAACTTTACCTTGAGACTCGGTTCCTTTCTAGATTCTTCACTTCTGTTTTTTGCATTTCTAATTATTTCGTATGAGATTCCCTTCTATGTTTTGCCCTTCAAGAAATTTTTTTTAACCAACCACACTCATAAAAGAAAAGATAGGTTAACCTATAAATTTTATTCCCCTATGAGTCCTATCTTCTTAATGATTTATTGAACTTATAACTACTATTTTATAAAGCCATCATGAAATCTAATATTTTTGAATTGAACTTATAACTACTAAGTATTTGTTCTCATACTTAACTCTTCTTTTAAAAGGTTTGAGTTTTAACCAGGTGTCGCTCTTAAGAAGAAAGTAAAAATTTGAAGTCCCTAATTTATCGAAATTTTGATTTCTAGATTTTAATCCAAGCAATTCACTCATTTATTGTTTTAAGATTATTTTCTTTATTTCTGTAATTAAATTCACTCCTTATCTTCTTCCTACTTTAATGATAACCTTTAAAGTGATGTTTGTCATGTGTACTATTTTAATGTAGATATATAGCTAGCTTGCGTGCTTGCTCGAAGGAAGAATTGGTTGGACACAATTGAGCAGAAATAAAGAGAAATAGTGGGACTATTTGTTTCAAGTGTTGGTGCTACCATTTCTCTATTGCCCAAGTCATTGTTTTCTTACTCCATGGTAGTTCTATATTAACCCTTATGTATAAGGAGAACTTCCTCCCTATAAACATGCACTGTAAATAGTGTGGCTTATGCAATTCAAGACACATCACAGCTGCTTTGCAAACAGAAATAAGATGCAGAGTATTGCTCATTCAATGCCGACTCACATATTCTAATTTTTCTTTTCCGTCCAATTTATACTGTATGTTTTAGTTTACGATGTTTGACTAAATTTATTTTTAATTTAATTTATTTGAAGATTGGGTGAATTTAAAAATAAAAATTACATATTAAAAATTACATGATTATATTATTTTATCAAATAAATATTAATAATTAAAGAAAGTGAATAAAATTTTGTCATATGAATAATAAATGAAAGAAATATACGGAGTATAAGTTTTGTTTATATTAAAAAAACTCTTACCGTGAAAAATCTTTGGGGGGCCGGGATTCCATTAGGATTTGAAACTTTAAATTACCCATTCAAAGGGGGAGGGGTGGCCGGGGGCCGGGGTAAGGGAGAGAATGAGGGTGGGTGAGGGAAATGAACTCGAGGAATTAGAGTACTCGAAGATTGAGTAGGAAAATGAACTTTAGTCTAAAACAATTGATAGTCATTTTCTCCTCTATGAGAAAAATATTTTTCTTAAAAAACTATTTCATACCACTTTTGCAACGTAATATAAGAAATTTTTGGAATTTCTTGCAATTATATTTTTCTCTCAACCAAACATATCCTAAAAACTATAATCCAAAAGAATGAAACCTTAAAAAATTTAAAATTGACAAAAAATTGCTAAACCCCCTGCACGGGTTAAATACTAGTTTATATAGAGAGGCAGTTGGGCTTTCCAATTATAACTAGGAGTATATTACGTGCATACTCCATTTTTAATATTGCTATTATATTATTATAAATCTTTACATTTATTTATTGAACTGTAATGTCTATTTTACTCATCATGCTTTATACGCATATCCAAATTTAACGAACCATATACCGTTGGTCACCATTTTACGAGATCTATCCGAAAACCTGAGTTTTATTTAAAATAGTCAACTTTACATATAGTTTATATTTTTGAGTAAATAGATATTTTATTTATTTTTCTTAAAATAACGGCTAACTACTAAGCCGGTTCTTGGGTCGTTACATTTCTCTCCACCTTAAAAGGAATTTCGTCCCCGAAATTCTTCTAAGGTAATGAGCGAAATTAATAAATGCATTTCAATTTTTTTTTACAATAGATGTAAATTTTCTTTGTAAAAGAGATCATTCTAACCCTTGATCATATATTTTTATGATCCATATACTTTGATTTGAAATCAGTTTATTGTTTTCCTCTAAGCAATTAAAACGATAATCAAACATATTTTTTTCCCAAATCAAGAGTAAACAATTTAAGTAAAATACCAAATATTTTTTATGGTTTTTCATTAAACTCTTGTTTTAGTATTCTCTTTCTCAATCATATTGAACAATTTCATACTAAACCTCTCTTGGTATTTATGTTATAGTCTCATACGTTCAAGGCGTATGATCTATTGGTCAACAAAATAATCATCTGAGTTTGAAGAACAACATTTGTCCCTTAACTGAAAACCGAAAAGCATTCTTGTCAAAATAAGACTCATAGATGATTGTTTCACTTGTTGAAGGTAATTTACAAACAATTCTCTAATTGTAGCACCACTGCAATAGGTATGGTTGAGTTATCCTTGCACAAGGCCAAAAATCCAACACTTGGTCCATCGTGTGCTTCAACCATTTTTCTTTGGTTAATAGTCTATAATTATGCAACACTTGCTTAATGGTACAGATGTGAGACCCATTTCTCATTATCTAGTACCTATTTCATAAATGTAGACTAATTTACCACTATAAATAAATACTCAACTTGGAAGTCATACCTCCTTTTGATCTTCCATATCTATTCACGAGGTCTTTCTTCTATTAGCGGGTTTTCGATAATAGAAGTTCGAGGTATGGATTTAGAAGATGAAGAAGTGGTTTTGGATATTAGCCTACTAGCGCTTACATCTTTTTCCACCAACCCATTTGTTGGTTCCTACTTCTTCTTCTCACCCTTTTCTTTGATTTTACTCAATTATTCTTGTCATTTACCCCGAGCATACATGTGACAAGAAGACCAATCATGTCTAGCAATGTTTTGCTAAAAGGTCTATAGCCAACGTTTGGTGCATAGGAATCACATTGTCTCAAGCTTCGATTATCTTGAGAGTAACCAACCTGAATGGGAATCTCCTTTGCTAATTATAGTTGTGAAGAATCTTAAGATTTTGAATTATTCATGCGTGCTCTCGCTAGAGTTATATTAGGTGTAGATCGAATCTTACCTTTTAGTCATTCTTTGCACTTCTAACAGGAGAAGTCATTGAAGTGAGCATGATTTATTCTAAATCTTTAATGTTTCCAAAACATTTTATCCCTCAAAGACGTAATACAAGTATCACTAAAGTGTAAAGTGAGCCGCCCACTGAACACTTTCCGAATCTTGATGCGAAACTTGTTTCACCACCAAAAATCCGCGATAGCGAGGGCCTTCCCTCCCTCAGTTCACCTCCGGAGGAGGGGAACAATAAGTTAAGTATTAACTTGTTAATACTTAGTGTTGGTTGCAACATTGGTTGCAACGCTTACTGTTCCCAATTCCCTCCTACGTATGGAGCCACTTCGGTCGGTCGGCATGTCTTAAAGGGATCCCAACCCCTTTAAGACGCCTTGGTCAATTTGAGAACGTTTTATCAATTTTGTGGTTTGATATTAGGAATTACATGTAATTTGCAAAACTAGGTTACATAACTATAAATGAGCTGCAAAATAGATATTATCAAGAATATAAGTAATTGATTAGGTCTTTAATTAAAAACACTCCCACTATTTTAACAAATCAACTACCCTCAAGTACGTAACCTTTTGATTCGAGACTTCTCCTAAAGAGATATCTTAGTGGGCCAAGGTCCATATTACATTTAACTATAGTTGTGCTTTGCATCTTGCCCTATAGTTAAACTAATTAGGTAGGAACTTATTTCCAATTGTAATCCAATTACAATCCTTAGTTTGTTAGGTTCTTCTAAATAAAATCTTATATTGGGCCTAGATCCTTATTTAATCTAACTATAGTTGTGTTTTGAATCTTGCCATATAGTTAAACTATTTCAGGTAGGAACTAATTCCAATTGTAACACTTTACAACTCTGGCTAGATGAATTTGATTTTATTTATTAACCTAACCATGTGCCTCTAAGTTATTCATACTATGGCATGTGGCACGCACATACACTAGCGAATATCATACAAGCATACATTCAAACATACAAACATGTATAATGAATAAAACGTGACATGGCTGTGGCTTCCTAAAGAACTAACAATAAAGCCTTCTCTTGAGATCTCTATCTCTAGCTTCACCTTCTTTCCTTAAGAGTGCTTCAGCCTTCAAGTTCAACCATTCTTGCTAATGTCCTCTTCTTCTTGCCTCCTTCATCTTCCTTGCTTCTTCATGGACTTCTTTGTTTAATCGAGAGAAAAGAATCCTTGCTTTGTAAGCAAGGGGTATGAGGTTTAAGAAGATATTTATAAGCAGAATTTAGAGATGAGGCACGACACGCAAACCATATTTAAAAACCACACATTCTAAGATACAACCATGCACCATGCAAAGCCGCGTTCGCTCCAAACCTAGTTTATTCTATGAAAATAAACTACAAGCCTAAAAATTATCAAATAATTTTACTTAATTTTATTTTAAAACTCCATAATATCCAAAACTTAATTTTGAATTTTTCTCAATTTCAAACTAATCAATTTCCAAAAATATAGGTATTAATTTCGAAATTAGTATTTTAATTCGAAATAAATACTTATAAATTTTGAAAATTAATAAATCAATTCTAGAATGTGTATTCTGATTTTATAAGTCTGAAACTAAAATTTACAGATTTTATAAAATTTAGTTTCGAAATTCTTTATTTAAATAGTCTAAATCAGACTTCAATTTTCTATAAATTAATTCCGAGTTTCCAAAAAATAATATTTTCCAAAACTATTTACTTTGGATCAGTATTGTTCTGAAAATCAAATTTAAAGATTTATATAAATTTTATTTTCTGTATTTTGGAATTTGTTTCCAAAAGAGTTAAATTAATCTCCAAAATTAATTTAGAATATTCCAAATATTACAAAAATCAATATTTTCCAAAAATAAATTTTTTGAATCATATAAAATCTGATGCTCAAATTTCCAGATTTTTCTAAAATTGTATTTTCGGTACTTTCTATTTATTTATTTGGTAATCAATAGAACAATTTTTAAAATTATTTTTCGTGAGTCATAATTATTCCAAAAATATTTATTCTCAGAATAATGTGATATTATTACCAAACATTAAATTTCCATAATTTAAAATTAATTAATTAATTTTCAGGAATAGATTACCGAATTGCCAAAACTGTTTTTCCCAAAAATTAATAATTAAATACTTAAATTACGAATTTAATTCTAAACAATTTTATAAAATCTGAAAATCATATTTTCAAGTTTATAAAATTATAATTACGAATTTAATTCTCTTTTCAAATTTAATCCATATTAATACCGAATAAGATTAATTATAAATTGAAAAATAGAAAATAAAAACCGAAAAATTATTTTAATTTTCCAGAGTGACTAAAATCATATTTTAACATCCCAAAATGATTAATATTATTTTTCACAATTTATTTTGTATTTATCTTGTAATTAATCAAATTAAACACAAATTAAACAATATTCATAAATTAGGAAATAAATTTCGAAAATTAATTTTAAATTTCCATAGGTCTTAAAATCATATTTTAAAGTCTAATATTTAATAAAGTTTAATTTGAGAATTTCGAAATATTTTAATTGGTTAAAACAGTTTTTAACCCATTAATCCCGAAAATAAAAAATAAATCCAAATTTAATTCAAAAATCATATTTTCGAATTTTATAAAGTCTAGAATTATATTTTGGAACTCTTTTTGAACTTTGGATAATTTTCGAAAATATATACACATATATTTCTATTTTATTAATTAACAAAAACCCTAACGTCAATTACATCTACAAAACTTATAATTTTCATAAGTCAGATAGA